GCGGCGATCTGCCATTGCCGGCAGTGCTCTACAATTGATTTCCTCTCTTCGCTTGCTACGCCGTGCTGGTCGCGCAGATGCACATCGACGTTCTGTATGCCTGTAGCGTGCTCCTTGCAGATTAGCACCTGATAGCGCTGGAGATAGCAGAAGCGCTCTTGCACGTTGTTGATTGTTATCTTGCTTGCGCGCGGTCGCTTGCGGTGCTGCGTTGTAGTTATTGTTGCGGGTGGCTGTGCGTTCCAGCAGAACTCTATGCCTAAGATAACCCTAAGCGCAGCAATGCAAGCTGAGAAATGCAGAAACAAAAGTTGCGGCGCGATAGAGTGTATAATTTTTGGCAGGTTTTGTATAGAACATGTTCCGCGAGCGGTGCAGCTTAGGGGTATGATCGGGGGTCAAAGACACGATGTTTGCCCCCTATCGCAGGCCCGATTCGGTTGCGCAACCCTAACGCTACACCCATTTCAGCGATGATCGGGCCCAAGCATGCGCGTCATATAGGTTAGGCCATTAACATTGCTTCTGCACGTCCTCCCGCGTCGCGCAGTACTTCTAACTAACCCAGCACTATCAGCAGCTGTGACTGCCACCTTGGTCGTGAATCCCTTGTCGAAATGCGTCCAGCTCCATGCCCGTCACGCCTGGGTGCGCGGTGCACTGCATCGTCTTGTGCTGCTGCCACTCAGTTGTGCCAGCGTTGTCCAGCATGTAGCACGCCACACACCCGTTGCGCAGCTCATCCATCAGTTCCTCTACCTGCTGCCACTCCGTGCTCGCCTCCCGCTGTGCGTCGTGCCAACTGCGCGTCCCCTCTCCGCACTGGTTGCACCCAGCCGTCTCTATGTTGTTGCACTCCACCCGCTTGCCGTCTAAGTAGCTGCTCATCAGCCCTTGTTAACACCTGCTGCTAATTAGAAACATGCCCATTGCCTGCACGTCCAAGTTGTTGCTCTTCTGCTTTATTATCTGCTCAACCTCGCCCTGCTCTACCAACACTACTGAATCCACCCTTTCGCCAGCTCGCCCCCCACGCCCACTCTCCTGCGCGTAGTCGATCATGCTCCACGGCATCCTCACGTGCAGTATGAACACGATCCTGGGGAAGTCTACCCCTGTGCCTAGCGCTGACGTCGCTGTCATCAGCCCTCCTTCTATCAACCACTGCTTCACTTAGTCCTCACGGTCGGGCACGTCGGCGTGATAGCACCCACACCCCAGCACCTCAGCTAGCTCTTCACACTGCTGCTTGCTGCGACAGTACACCACGCCCTTCCAGCCTCTGCTAAGCAGTAGCTGCTGCTGCTGTCGACACATCGCCACCACTGTCTCTAACGCCTTACCACGCTCGCACCACAACACGTAGTACTGCGTGTTCAGCCGTACAGTGCTTGCCCGGATGTACATTGCGCACGGAATTAGCATGCTTGTTGCTAGCTCACCCTCCCGAACCGGCGGAAGCGTCGCTGTGAGCAGCACAATCAGGCACGGCAGCAGCCGCAAGTTCTTCAACTCTGCCAGCTTCGGCCGCCAGTCGCTCGACGTGAAGATGAGATGACACTTGTCCACCACCACCCGCCGCAGCAGCCCTTTGCTGTGCAGCATGTTCGCGTACCCTATGAAGTTGCCGTTGCTTCTTGTGTCACCAGCCATGTCTGCGCTGACCACAACTACGCTCGCCAGATTGCTCTCTCTGTGCTTCCACTTGATGCAGTCAATGCCGCACTTTCGTATGCGGCTCACCAAGTCCTCCATCAGCGCTCGATACGGCACTACCACCACCGTCACCCCAGCGTCCGTCAAGCAAGCCGGCACGCTGAACAGCAAGCTCTTGCCTCCGCCTGTCGGGAGTACGACAATCAGCGGCGTCTGCTTCCCTAGCACCGCGTGCAGCGCCTGCTCCTGCTCCACCGACCGAAACCCAACGTCTTGCTTGCCTAGCACCTGCTGCAGCCCCCGCTGGATTGCTTCCGCCCGCGCGTCTGCAACCCAGACCTCCTTCTCTCTCGGCAGCCCAGCGAGCCCTGACAACATGCTGATGCTCATCGGCCTCTTCGCTATCCTGCTCGGCCCCACGTACTTCGTGCTGCTGCTGTCCACCCCTAAGAAGCGGTGCCATGCTACGCTCAGCAGCCGGAACGCATCGATCGACCGCACTCTGAGATGCTTCACAATATCCATCGGCACGCTGTAGTTGCCTACGCCTATTGCAGTTGTGCGCGAGTTTTGCAGCTCAAGAATGTCTTCACTGTTGTCACCCACTTCTGCCTCTTCTATCTCTCCTACGTTGTCTTGATAGCCCTTGCTGAACAACTCTCCCACATATACCCAGCCAATCCCCACCGCTGCGTGCCGGTAGTCGAGCGTGTGCAGCGGCACTCCAAGCCTCTTACCAGTCTCTCGCCGCAGTATCCTCGTGAGCCGGCCAGTGTCCTACGCGCCCTGCGCATCGTGCCACACGTAGTCGCTGTAGTTCCCCCCAAGCACCTGCAGCGTCAGATACTCCTTAAACAGCTGCATGTGCACCAAGTACAATGCCATCACCTGCCCCAGCTGCAGTGACAAGAAGCGCAGCACAATCTTTAGCTTGTCCCACTGCAACTGCGACTTGTGATAGTAGACAACTATTATTACCTGCCTATCTACAACAAAGATGTTGTGGTCCTATAGTACGCTGTTGCAGTGTTAAATTGTTGTGATCTAGCTGTATGTCTTGCACTGCGCACTATTAAGTAGCTTTCCTAGCTCTTCTATTAGCTGCGCAGGCTCTTCTAGGAGCTTAATTGCGCTTAGAGCGACGGTCTTAAATTAAGTAAAGCGCTTAAGTATCTGTCGCTGTAGCGCAGCAGATGCAGCATGATATTTGCGGAGATGCGCATCAAGACTCACAACCACTATACAGTGCTGCTTGCAA